ATCCAGTCTGTTGGCCTCGCTCCCGCTCCCGACAAGACGGAGTTCGTCGTTATTCATGGCGGTCGTCGCACACCAGCAAAAGAAGCAGAAAAACAGTGCATTCAGCTCACGCTCGCAGGTACTCCCATCTCACGCCGCACGAGCATCCGGATTCTTGGTTTTCACCTCGACCAAGACAGCCGGGCGGCGACTTGGTTTCAGCGTACCATCAGCACCTCGAAACAGCTGAACCACCTGTTATGCAGGGTAGCCCACCGCTCCCGCGGGGTGCACGAACATGATCTCCGTATCTTTGCTAGGGCCTTCGTGGTGTCCCGCATTATGTACGGCTACCCGTACTACCACCTTACCCGCACCCAAAAACTCAGGCTCGAAATAATTAATCGGGAACTGCAACGAATTGTCACCGGCCTTCCGAGATACACACGAATCGATGCGCTCACCAGCTGCAGCCAGATGAACAGCCTTGACGACCTGGCCTCCACCCAGATCGCAACTCAAGAAACTCGACTCCGAGCCACTCTAGCGGGGCGCTTCACACTGCGTAAGCTAGGTTACAACATCGACCACCTCTTACCTTTACCCACCCCACCCCCGCCATGGGAGCTCTGCCCTCTCACAGCACCCCGTCCCCTCCCTCGGAACATGGGTGAAAAAGCGCAAGCTCGCCGCAGCGACTTTGCTCGCCGACATCTCCACTCTCTCCTTGTTCGCTCTTCATCGGCTCTAGTTTTCTACGCGGACGCGGCTGTGGACAATAACTCCACTCCAATCTTCAGCACGGCATGGTGCGATGTCGACGGTCATCGACGCGGTACACAAGTTTTCATGACCCCCTGCTCCTCTAGTCACGCTGAACTTTGTGCTATACTGCACTGCTTAACCTCCGTTAACACTTCAACCCTGGTACCCTCCTCCAGAATCGTAATATATACAGATTCTCAAGAAGCCATCCGTGCTCTCCGCCACTCATCTCCATCATCTGCCATCGCTATTCAGATTCATCGGGCAGCCATTTCTATCCGGACAGCCGGCCACCATCCCCTCATCGACTGGGTGCCCGCCCACAGCGGCATTCCCGGCAATGAAAGGGCTCACCGACTTGCGCGCGCTAAACTTCTCTCCGCGCGAGCCGGGGCCCCTACTTTTCCTACGCCACCGGAGCTCACACCTGGCTCCTTTCACGATTCACACGAAGCCCGGCAGGAGCACGCCAGCCGATGGCGTCATTACCTGACTACTCAGGCTAACCCCCTTGACTTCCCCTCTCTTTCCCACCTTCCTCTCACTCGCCACGAGACCTCCCTTCTACAGCAAGCCAGGTCAGGAGCGCTCCTCGCTCCCTCCCTGCTTGCAAAGATGTATCCCCAGGTCCACATCAACCCTCAGTGTACCCACTGCCACATTCCTGCTAGTCTCCCCCATCTTTTGTGGGACTGCCCGCTCCACTCAACAGCCCGCGTTCGCGCGCTCTCAACCCTCTCACCTCCCCCCTCCACTCTTACTGAGTGGCTCAACCCCCCATCCGCTCCTGACCCTGGTCGTGTCCTGGCGGCATACCAGGCGATCCTCCGATATTTAGAGGACCCGCAGGCGCCCCCACTCGGCTCCAGGCTGCTCAAGCAATACGAGCCAATCATCGCCGCCGCCCGACGTCTCTCTGCCCCTGGTAACACCAGGGCCACATAAGAGGACGAGATAAAAGACCATACAGCAGAGCGCATAGGGCGCTCATTCATTTGGTCTGTAAATAAAGACGTTTGAAAGAAAGAAGAAGCCCTCGCAGTAACCGCACCGAGCGTGTCGCACGGCGGGATGCTTCGCGTTCGCCAGGTAGTGCGTCATGTGGTGCACCTACACAGTGGCGTTGCCTTGGGGGCGACATTTTCTCGGTGCCGTGCGCGCCCCAGACGAATGTGTCATTGTTGTGAGTTGAAAAAGCGTGCTCGTCTGTGTTTCGTCCTCTCTATGTTTTATTCTTTTTGTTATCTAGCTGTTCGTTGTCCTCTTAAAGTTCCGGCTTGTTCGAGACATACATTGCCAACAGTATTAGCATTTCCACCACAAAAACGTCCACACTGTGCACCGCGTGGATAAGCTTCATGCTGCATGGTATGAATAGCATATCGGTAGAATACTCCAGGAAGCGCTGAGGCATGCCAGATTGTATGCGCGTCGCCATTTCAGAAAAAAGGCTGCCCCAAAAGAAGAGGTGCACAGACGAAGAGGAGTTCTTGCTACTTTCAAAGCCGCGCACCTCGTGCCTATGGGCAGCCGTCATAGAGAACTTGGCAGCAGATCACTAATGTAATTAACTTCGGTATATCAAAACACGATATATTTTTTCCAAGACGCACACACGACTCAATTAGTCAGTTCTGGCGTGCGCGCGTGTGTGCGTGTGTTTGCTTGTTTCTGTGCTCTTCCAGAGAGTAACTTGGGAGCCTACCGCAGTCGATCTTCGCTTCTTCGGAAGCTGAAACCTACTTAAACTTCTGGGCCCGTTAGGGTGCCTACATGTCTGTCTGTCTCAGGGTGAAGACATTTATTGTTGCCCTGAATCTGCCAGCACGTGACGCTCTCGCGCACTCGGTGCATGAGTCGAACGGTAAAATGGCGTCTATGCATTAGCCAAAGCTACGCGCTCGAGCTGAGTGACACCGGATTGGGCGCACTTCAAAATGCATAAAAAAACGATCGGGCGGAAAAATGGCTGAGATGTCACCACTCAAGCAAAAGCGCGCGTGTGTATGAAGGCACTCTAGGGCCCGTTTGCTCGAAGCGCTAACCGCGGCTAAAGTTAGCCGCAGTACCTAGGAGAGGGATTTTGAGATCACGTGACTGGCTCGGTAGGGATGCGGGGAAACATGGCGGTGCCGCAGTGAGTGAACGCCGCTCGCTTTGGAAATAACATGTTGTTGTAGCTGCAATATCGGGCGTGTTAGTCAGTAACGAATGGTGCAGGGGGCTTTCGCTTTGCTTTACCTCACTTAAACCGCAAAGCATAGGCAATGACATCGCCGCATTTTTTAGATAGTCTTTCGATTCTGGGCATTCCTAAGCCTAAATGAACGCGATAATGTCGGCATGGCAACGTCTTTGGAAAGCGGATTGTTGATAGCACACGAAAGCAGACAGCGTCCCAACAGACCTTTTTTCTAAATTATCCAAGCACCGAGGTGCACGCTACGACTGTAGTTGCACGCGCCGCACGTGCTAGTGTCTGCAGTAGTAACCGTTCTGAAGCAAAAAGTATAAAACAAATTTTACCTTGCACGGGCGTTCGTTAAAGCCTTATTATGTTTTTTTTTACTTCGAATCTTTTATTGCAAGAAGGCAAGCGTGTGGACCGTAGAATTACACTTCCAGCGTTCTCCTCACGATGCTTGGATAATTTAGAAGAAAGTCTGTTGGGTCGCTATCTGCTTTTGTGCGCTATCAATACCCGGCCGATTGAGTCAGGGCAATTCGCTTCCCAAAGACGTTGCCATGCCGACAATTATCGCGTTCATTTAGGCTTAGGAATGCCCAGAATCGAAACACTATCTGAAAAATGCGGTGATGTCATTGCCCATGCTTTGCGGTTTAAGTGAGGTAAGGCAAAGCGAAAGCCTCCTGCATCATTCGTTGCTGACTAACGCGCCCGATATTGCAGCTACAACGACATATTATTTCCAAAGCGAGTGGCGCTCACTCACTGGGACGCCGCCATGTTTCCCCGCATCCCTACCGAGCCAGTCACGTGATTTCAAAATCCCTCTCCTAGGTACTGCGGCTAACTTTAGCCGCGGTTAGTGCTTCGAGCAAACGGGCCCAGGTGCATCTTGTTTCTGTCGAAAATTAGGCGTCGTAACGTGCCAATAAATGGGCGTTACGTTAAAATGACTGGTGCGGACCAAGATGAGGAAAGAGTGTGGTTTATCTACACGACAATACAGTATTCTCTTCAATATTGTTGAGGCAAACAGCCTCAACAATTAATTTGAATTAAATCGAGTCGCGTGGCCTTTCAGCAAGTCCAGCGAAACATTACCGATCCTCTTTCAAACGTCCAAATATTGGCCGCTATGCAGATGCCGTGAAATTTGGTACGTGTTCACAAACGAACCGCAACACGTGCAAAAACAGCAGATCTGTAAAGTGCACGGTCACAAACAAAAAAAAAAACAAAAAAAATCACATCTTGCCAACGAGGTCGTGTCGTCTGGTTTGACAACGTCACGGTGTTAATAGCGCCTCGGGGAAGTTATTATGCCTTCTGAGCATTCGAGCGTAGAGAGCTGCTGCCACTCTGTCGTGCTACCTTTATCGACCCAGTGCGCCGTACAGTCCCCACATATGATGGCTAGATCGATGAACACGACTGAACCCTTTGAATTAGACGGCAACTTGCGCCACCTATAATCCCTGACAACTTAACAAACGCACAGCGTGGCGATTCCCGCGCATCTTATCACTCCGCAGCCAACAGGCTTGCGGCACTGTCCGATAAGAACACTGCAAGTCAAATCAAGCGTGAACGCCGTAAAACACGTGCTCCGTTTCATATGCTGTTAGTGACTATAACAAGAAATGTCCAAGCCCGAAAGTGACCGAAGCTGATCGGAAGAAGTCGAAAGCAATGCTTCTGGATGCATCAGTGTGGTAGCCTACGTTTTGCTAAGAAACTTGGCGTCTTTGTTGCAGATACTATCATTAAGGAACTTGGTTTGTTTCCAGAGAGGTATTTAAGAGAATTAACATCTTCCCTGAAGAAGTTCCCTGAAGAAGGTAGCGAGTGAACTCCGGAGAAAAGGCGGGTTTATCAGCCTCCTATGCAGCGTTCCCTCTGCTAAAGTGGAAAGAGTGGAGGGTTATGCGGGAATAGCTTATCTTGTTCTGAACCTTTTTTTTTATCTTTATATTAAAATCTTAGCGGACACCCCGTGACTGAAGCGCGAAGCTGTAAGAAGGAGTCGAGAGAAGTACCGCTCGACTAAAGAGTCCGCGAACGGGTCCATCTACTGTGGCGCGTCGAACCAGCCGTTCTGTGGCCGGTACACCTTGTGCGGATCTTCGGGTGGCTGAATGTCCGGCGAGAAAGCTGACAGTAGCACGTTCACGACGCTGATGAGGAAGGCGAGCAGCACGACCACGTTGTTCAGCGTGTCCGCGCGGCGCTGTTCCCATGGGCAGTTGATGTTCCAGCGACCGAGCAACACCAGCAGAAATCCGGCAAGCAGCTGTGGAGGAGACAATCCGTTTTTTGCTTCAGCATGAATCGACACTTTCATTCGTAAAGCTTATTCCCGGTGTGCATTTCTAGGTTTCCGCGTCTGATTTTTACACGATTTGGCGTAATAAATTGGTGTTTACATCATCAAGCTTAGGGAGACTTTAACCGCGGAGTTCATACTGCAGGTGCACAACTCAGGAGTATAACATTTCAGTATTCAATATAAAAATAATAACAATTTCACAAAAAGAAACAAAAAATGCATATTCTTTATAGTAGCTGATTGCTGAGCTAGTTTTGGCCAATTTACACCATAAGAACAGCGAATGTAGAGAGAGCAGTCAAAGAGAACCACATAGGTCCTTTGTGGTTCAAGTTCGCTTTGTCCCCTCTAGTTTGCAGATACCTTGTTGGATATCTTCCGATTTTTGTCAGTCACTCGTCTTTAGAACTGCCGCGTTATATGCGGTTGTCGGCGTGCATTTTAACACCATCAATTTTTTTTTATGTTATCAAAAACAAATGTTCAAGTCGGCTAACACTGAACCTCAGTTTTCTAACCTCCTGCAAATCCTCCTTCAGACTTCGTAGAGCACTTACACCAATAAAAACAACAAAGACGTTTACTCCTTTAAACACGGTGCGGGGAAACGCTGATCACGTCTTGGCAAGCCCACTTTTCAAGCCGTTATATGTTTTAAGTACACGTCCTCTGTTTTGGACATGCCGTCGGAATAATGTTTTTTTTACTGTGGGAATTATGTCGTTTTTGAAAAGCAGGTTCATATCGCACATCCACGAGAAGGATAGAGTCACGAGCTCATGACCAAAGAGTTGTGTGCAACGACCACCTTGCTGTCCCAGATGGAAAAGTATAGACACGCGTAAAACTGAAAATAAAGGTTTAATCGATGACCTTGGGCCAGAAACAAAAGAGAGAACGAGCGTCAAGAAGCAGCAGTGAGCGTCGAGATGTCGGCATTGCAGCTGGCTAGCGCGAGAGTGAGTCGGTAAGGCCATGGCCTCCTACACTCGCTATCTAGAAAATTAGGTCTAGAATGTTGGAGCGTCGAACACTCGGGAGACTAACTCGGCAAGGTCATGTTGGCCTCCTTATCTTTAACTCTCGGCACCTCGAACGTTCCCCCTAGAATTTTCCAGCGTCGCAAGTTCGGGGTAAGAGTAAACGCGAATCTTCTAGAAGTGTGGTGTCGCTCTTCCTCTAGGCCATGCAGGCGGCAATTAATATACTTAACCCATGCTCGGCCTCAACTATTTTGTGCTACGTCGTGAAGGCTAGCGCAGCCTCCGCAATGTTGCAGGGGCTTGAACTCTAGAACACTATTCACAAAATACGGAAACTGTCTCCTGCTCCATGCCTCTTGAAATAGAAAGGGTTCGACTAGCGTCCATTACGAATGTAGTGTTTGGAGATGCTGACGCATAGTTGGTAAACATGTAAAAAGTTGGTGGGCAATGGAAGATAGAAAGACGGCAATGGAGTGAGTACAACTGACTGTTAAAACAGCTTTGTCGTCGATGACACTCTGAATTAAATCAATCAGATATTATGAATATATTTTACAAGCGTTATGTTCGTCAACAAATTCTTCTGGCTCGGTTGCTTTTCTTGGATCTACACACGAATCAATTTCTTTCACAATCCTACTCTAAATACGGCGGCGCATTAGCGATGTGCCTAGACCAGAGTACTGTAACTGGAGGATCGTTACAAACACAACCTTTTCTATACTAAGTATAAAGAAGGTCGTGTTTAGGAGGGCAGAGTCATGTGGCTCTGAGGAGGGCAGAGTTTAGCGCCATCTAATGAGGTGCGCACGAACTCGCCAGGAGCAGGCACTCCCGCAGGGCACGCGAGGGACACCAAGGCACCAGCACACCGTACGAAGAATTATATTTACCACGATCTTGGCTCTCAAAAGGCACGGCACCCGATTCCAGCTATGCTGGGTTGCTGGCCACGCCAGAGTATGAAAAATAAGTTGCCAACAGAGATGCGAGAGAGTAAGTCGAGCCTTCCAATCCGACAAAGTCGATCGGCTGCCCCCGGACCACTAATGCTCCGCCTCCCTCAGTAACTGAAAGGGGGTGGGGCTTGAGGACAGCCTCAAGACCCTCGTTGCAAACGAGAAGAGGATAATGAAAGCAGAACTAATTAGGGCAGGCTCCCGGAGGACCCTCACCAAATCCCGGCTGGATTCCAGAAATACCATTCGGAGCTCTCGAGGCGTGTGCGGTGCAATAACATCGCACGTCTTCAAGAAATAGGAGGACGCAAGAATAAATTGAAGAAAAACTCCGGAGTGTAAGCGCTACAAGGGGACCCAACCGCACCAAACCTCACTCATCTTCTTTGGGAGTGCAAGCAGTTCGCGGCGGAACTAAGAGAAGCACTGGTGACGACGAGAAAAGAACCCAGTTTCCTCGAATGTGAATTAGGCCGGAGGGCAACGAAAATTTGTTTAAAATTGCTAGAGTCGGTATCATCCTACTTGGATAACACCGGCCTCGGACGATCCTTCTAATCCCCTCTTTCTAAAAGGGCCCTGCAGCAGTAAAACCGCCCACCATAATTTCATTGCTAGATAAACGATTTCTTACTCACTCACTGCCATCGGAAGAGCCACCAGGGTGAATAAAAATGAAAATGATTTAAATTGAATAGGGTCAGCTGAACAGTTACAACGTAGAAAAAATCGAGAAACGAAAGGACATACACACAGCGGTGTGTATGTCTTTTCCCCTTTCGGTTTTTTCTGCGTTGTAAATGTTCAGCTGACCCTATCCAATAAGTACCAACTAGCTCAAGCAAAACCTGACGATGATTTAAATCGTGATTTATATACGATTTAAGTGAAACCTTTCCGCAAACATAATTCCTTAAATCCTTTTTGTATATACTCTTTGTCTATCATTTAATGCTTTTTATGTGCTTTTGTTTTATATATAGCTCAAATATTGATCAAGAAAGAAAGATTTATATCAGACTGGACACGAGCAAAAACGCTGTGCGCTCCAGGACAAATCGAAGGTTTGCAAACAAATCAAAACACGAAAATAGAAGTAAATGAGGCTTTATATCTAACTAAAAAAGAAATATTTTTTGTTTTGTTTTGTTTAAATGTGGTTGGGTTCGCATCACTAAAACGTTTTTAATTAAATTGCACTTTAGGTTACTGTAACTTTCTCTTCTTCATTGTTTTAGTGATCAGACGGATTTATCAATTAATCAGTCAGGTTTAAATAAACATCTAGTGATAAATATTCACTATTTCTTATCTACAGTGATTTAAACTAAATAAATCTGATTTAAATCAAATGCACCTAATTAAACTGATCTTTAAAAAAAATGTATATATTTTTTTACCCGCGGGAGGGCTCAGGTGACGCAATCGTGAGTGTAGAGAACGTCCTATAGTTGCGGACACCAACATTTTTCTATGCGGCTCGGCTTTGACGCGATTCAAAACCACAGCAACGCCACCTTTCGAGCTTGTTCTTAGATATGCGTGGGTGGCGGCAAAATCAGAGCACAGTGGCTCGCAAGGTGACTTCCACGACTGCATATTCCGTATTTTCGGCGCTCAGCAAGCATCCACCGCATTGTATAGCACGATTCTTTATGTCTATAAAAACATTCTTAATAGGGTGACGAAATAAATTACAAAAATTAAAAGGGTGGCTGTTTGTTTTATCATTTTTACGTGCAAGAAAAAAGACTGACTAGGATCCTGAGCCAGTCAAAAAAGTCCGAGAATTGCGTGGTTAGAGTCACTTTTCTCACTTCATAGCGGAGAATTAAAATGTATACTAAACAATATCTACAACGCGCGTAAAAACGGTCAAGTAGACAAAATCACAACAAACGTTGAAACATTATATATGATATATGTTTTTTGTTACATCGCCACCGACTCCGGTGGTTGCGCCTAGACAGACGAAGCGGCCAGACAGACGAAGCGAGTGCTTGAGACAACTGCAATAACGGTTAATTCGAACACAACGGAATATATATCGGTCGGGGGGGAGAAGGGTTGTTACAGAGACGGAGAGGGGGACTACTATGACTTCAGACGCTAACAATCATGAGTGGGCGGAAAAGAGAACAAGGTAAAGAGGGGGGGAGGGGGGGGGGGGGAATCCCCGCTTATGGTCAAGAGGTCCAACGAGTCAAGAGGTTTAATAGCCACGTGACAGCCGAGTCAAGGGGTCCAACGAGTGAAAAGGTACAATTCGAGTCAAGAGACCTAACGCTTCAAGAGGTCCAACCAGTCAAAAGGTCCAATTCGTTTCAAGAGGTCCAACACGTCAAGAGGTCCAACAGGTCAAGAGGTCCAACGCCTCAAGAGGTCCATCGAGCCTTATTTTTATCTTCTCCGTTTATAATTACATTGCTATCAATGGGGTGGCTGCTTGTGACGGTTACTGACTGTTTGACCTATTTGAATGATTTTGGACAATACAACTACTGCATAGCTATTGGCGACAAGTAGAGATACTATTTGCCACAATGTATATGTATTTGAGTGTTAAATATTGAATAGTGCCTGGCGACGTATTTTGGACTTGTAGGACTAAGTATCTGTATTCCAGTCTTTCTGCTCTAGGACACATTAATGCCATTTCTACGGAAGTAGATGTCTCTCAAATTCGTGAGATTTAAAATACAAATGTACCTCAGCCATCTCGCGTTTAGCCTTCCCTTTCATGTATCTCAGTATTTGTAAGCGCAAATACTTCCTTGGGTAACTTTGTCCAGTCCTGGGTTCTCGTATGTTCTATTAAAAATATTATGCGCTACTATTTTATGCTTTAGTTTTTGTTCACTGAGTTCGCCGAATCACTGAAGAGGTAAATTACATAATATGGAAAGGAGCTCAAATATCATTGGAGGGATTCTTTAAACGAGCCCAAATCACGCCCCTTGGCGTCAAATAGAGTGTTGCAAATGAATGCGAGCATTGTCTTCTTGAAACGTTATGACCG